AGTTCCTTGTTCTCTGAGCCCGCATTTGACCTTGAAGGGTGACCTTGAGAGGTCAAAACCGTTAATGGAGGCTGCTAGTCCTTTCTGTAGTGCAGGGGCGAACCCAGGATTTTGTCAAGGGGGGGGGGGGCACGCAACATTGCGGGGCCCCCAAAAATATCCTTGCACTCCGGTCATTATATTTGAAGACAAATTGCATGGAGCATATATATATATGAATGTCTTGAATTCAGAAACCCCTCTTACCCCGCACAGCCCTATAAAGCTTGGCATGCTACGCATGCATATACATAGAGCTCATTCATTTTCTACAGATCATGTTAAATCACGTAATTTAGGGCTGAGCGTTTCGGAACAACAGGGAAAATTAATCTGAGTTGGCTGCTTACAACCATCAAGACCGAGCACGGACTAAATCCTGAGGCTATTTACGGCTAGCCGGCTGGGCGATGTAAGCAGCTGATGACTGATAACTAATGCAGAATTTTTACTTTGTTGTAAAGTAGTATCAAATATGCTATTATTCAAAACATGTTAAGAACATGATGCACTAGTATAATAAGTGTCACACACTCGCAAGCCAGTGGAAATGACACATAAGATGTCGGCGGTACGTAAAATTAAGTTCGACAATTCCGCGTAAAAGTTCATCGGCACATATCCGGCTGCTGCTGTAAGGCGAAGGCGCCAAGGCCAATAGGGACGGAGTCGCAGCGATCATGGATGCCGCAGGATGTCAATAAAGTGGCTCCCGTCAACAAGCATAACGTCATCAGAGCAGGCAACCAGAACCCAAGACTAACGTGGTGGGCCTTAAACGATCGGTAGTGCCCCTTCAGGCTGACGTATAAGGCCCCGGCCAGAGCGCAGCACCCTCTGAGCAAACATAATTATCCAAGACCATGAGTTGTACTCTTGTGCGATCAGGAGAGCACAGGCAGGTTAACAGAAAAAGCCTCGATAGGAGTGAGGAATCCTCCGCAAATGAAATCAAAGGGAAAGAGCCCTTGATCAAATCAGAGGGCCCCTGAGCACCGAGTGTCTCGGTGCCTTATAAGAGCCCCAACGACAGCACAAGGTCATCCAGGAAAGTGGAAAGAACCCGAGACTAATAAGAAGGGCCCTTGAGCAACAGAGCTTACCTTGGCCTTTGGGGCCCAGCAAAAAGCGTAGAGAGCCTTTCGGGTGCATGGAAAGAATCTGTGTAGGAAAACCTGCATCGGTCAAGAGTGCCCAGGCGTGGAAGCAGATAACGCCCCAACAGCAGCGTTAAGCCCTACAAGAAATGCAAAGAGATCGTGGGCAACGTGGAAAGTTCCTTAACGATCAGATTGACCCGGCAAAAGAACATATAGAGCTAGGGTAACCAACGACGCAATGCCTCTGGAAAGCGTAGTGAGCTCCAAAATTTCCCCAAGCAACAGCTTCTCATTCAGCAAAGAAGTAACTTCGTCTGCTTATGAGCTCTTTACTTTTAATAGCAATTGTGCTTGTTCGTCTATAGGCCCAAAACCGTCCAATTTTGTTGTTTTTTTGTTTGTTTGTTAGAAAACTATGGCCGTTCGGCCGGCTGTGGGCCCCTCCGGAGCCTTCAGATTCCCTCAGCGTGGTCCATGGAGGCATGGTCCCGTGCCTCCCCACCACCCCTTTATACTTCTTCCAACGGCCCGAGCGGCTTAAAAGATGGGGCCCGCCAAGAACATAGGACCATTCATTCAAATACGAAATGCTCACGACACAAGGTGTGTGACCCCGAATGGTCGAGTGTGCCAGAGCAGGGCAACATGTAGGGTCCCCGTCAAGAGCGTAGGGCCCCCTATTTAAAGAAGAAGTGGCTAAGACCCTGTGATGAGGGCCCCGAATGATCGAGTGTGCCCGAGTAGGTTAACAGATCAGGCTCCCAAGAGGACCGTAGGACCCTCCACTCAAATAGAAAGCGCTCAAGACCTTACATAAATGACCCCCGAATGACATAATGTGCTCGGGCAGCTCATCAGAAGGGGACCGGCAAGCGTAAGGCAATCCATTCAAGTAAGAAGCACCCAGACCCCAGTGCGGAGGGTCTCCGAAAGATGGAGTGTACCCGAGCAGATTATCAGATGGCTCCGACAGGAGAAGGGCCCTAAATTCAAACACCGAGACCCAATATGCAGAGCCCCCGAACAATCCAGCGTGGCCGAGGAGGTGAGCAGATGGGTTACTGAGTGCGCGGGGCCCTCCACTCAGGTAGAAAGCACCAAGAGCACAATGTGGAAGGCCCCCGAAGAATTGACAGTGCCCAGGAGGTTAACAGATAGGGCCCCCGACAAGAGCGTACATACCAAGAGCGTACCTTCCATTGAAATGGAAGATACCCGGAACCCAGTGTGGACTGCTCCCGAAAGATGGAGTGTACCCGAGCATGCTATCAAGTGACCCCAATAGGGGCGCAGGGCCCTAAATTCAAACACCAAGACCGATTGTGCAGAGCCCCCAAACAGTCCAGTGTTGCCGAGAAGGCGAACAGAGGGGCCCCGACAAGTGCGTAGAGTCCCCATTCAAATAGGACGTGCCCAAGACCCAATGAAGAGCGCCCCGAACGTTCGAATGTGCCCGAGCAGGTTATCAGATAAGGCTCCCGCATTCGCAAGCCGATAGCACGGCCTGCGTACTATTGCAGGCCTGCAGTTGCAGGCTGCACGATAACACGGGCCGTGCCGGATTTCTTCTCTGGAGTGCACGGGGAAAACGCAACCACAGATCGTAGATGGAAATCAGGTCGTAAATTTGCATTTACGTCAACCTGTTTTTGGTCTCAGAATGCTCAACTTTGTTCAGAATCAAGTATGGGAGGAACTACATAACCCCGGTTTAGCCATGCGAGCTCGCAAATTTTATAACGAGAGCTCCCCGACGCCCGGCGTTGCAGTCTCCCGGGGCCGTTTAACGTCGGTTTTGTGTATAACACTAGGCGGTGGTTAACTGGCGGATGAAAACGACAACATTTCTGTAGGAGGTAATTTTGAATGCTTTGAGATGTCAATTGGGACGCTTGGAAGGCGTGTTGGGAGCATATTTCGCTTGGGAGCCCTCCGTTCGGTACCGGGGTCCTGCCTGACAAAGGGCCTTCCAATATGGCATTGTGGACTCACATCGTCAACTCCCATCTCCGCCTTCATTGTCAGGGGGCCCCGGCCAACGCAAGAGGTCCTTGGCTTTCGGGGTCCCATCCCTGTCTCTTTCAAACGGATGTCGTCCTGGCCACTCGAGGCCCCTTCCAAACATTGGGCCCTCTATTAGGCACTGTGGGTCTCAGACAAACAAGGAAACAGTCAGGATCTCGACCGAAGCAACCCGCGGGTTCCGACCTTGTCCCTGGGCCGAATACACCCTGGGACAATCTGGGTCTCTACTTCGGTCATGGACCACCAATATCGAACAGTCGGCTCCGTGTTGGCCTGAGCCCTGGGGGCCTATCAGCCCAAAATAGCACAAATAGGTTGCCGTGATTACAGTTTTATTGACCTTGAACGCCGCATGCCCAGTGAAATGGAATGATTTGAATGACGTTGATAGGGTGACATGGACGTCTGTGTAACCTTGGAATAGTCTGGACATCTTTGCGGACGTATATCTCAGAAACTAGGGTGTCCTCGGTCTTCAAAATGGCTATATCACTTCAGCCCCCCCCCCCCCCCCATACATATATGGAACACTCCCTTCAAGGAGAGGACCTTTACATTGGGTTCGGGACGCCGCACGTATCCCAAATTGTTCAGGTAAAACAAACGGGCGGGAGCGACACCCGTCCAGTCGAATCTGGGATGTCGAAGCTCAGCCCACCACTAGATAGGCTAGGAGAGGGGTCAACTTAGCATGTAGTGTGCCCGGCCTCAGACCATCAAAATCATACACGACAGTTACCACGCTCACGTTGGTCGGGGTCCGCACTGGGCCGCTCCGCACCGTCATCCAGGGATATGTGTATCCTGGCGATCGCCGATTTCCTTCGGGTGATGCATAGAATAAATGTATGCTATTGGCGCGCGACGCGCCGGTCGCGGAACAACCCGTTTCAGAAATATGGCCATCTAGCGGATAAACCAGGAAATGACAGCTTACGCCGGACCGTTGTAGTCGTATAGATGCTACTTCCACACGGAATGGCTCCGATATGCATCAGCACGATTACCAGATTGAATGCGCGGCATGGGTGCTGACGCAACGTTCGATCTGATGGATGTTGAGACGGTTTTTAACTTTCCCTTGTATCTGCCTCGGCCGGACGCACTACCCTACCATACGCTGCATGGAAGTACGGCACTTGCTTCGGTATTACCATTTATCTTACCCGCAAGCTGGTTTTTTTCATTTCCATCTCGTCGCAACCCTTTCGCCATTTTTGTCGAAAGCGTCCTCCTTCCACTGCTGCTTATAACGGCATGAACATCACCACACGCACAACCAAGCAACGCAACCACTCACTGGAGCGACTGCGGCAACTCAGCTTTCGGTGGTAACTATTGTATCAGGCAGTCGAACTTCCTTTTAACCTATACCACAACGCACTCCCCGCCCCCCCAAAGAAGAGGTGTCCTGACCCACGCCGTTCGATCTGTCGTCGGCACGTTTTTCAGCACCAATCACGATCCAGCATTCTCCCGTCACAATCACGCGACCAGTCACGTGGCGCGTGACGCTGCGCGCCGGCTGACGATGTTGCCAGGATTTTTCGTTATCGCGTCGGCCTGGAAAGCGCCACCAGACCGAAAGCCACTTAAAAAGAAGCAGGAGCTGATTTGGTATCTCTTGCGCTCGCGAATTAGGTAGGGTTGAGGTAGGGTTGGGGCATTCATCTTTCATTTTTTGGGGAAGAGGGATGATGGCGATTCGGGATTTAGAAAACCTCGAATACAATACACAACGGCAGCATTCCGCACCAACATCCAAACCCGCGATGGACAAGTAAATTGATATCAAGTACCAAGACATGTTCTCTCCACAACGTTGGATACTCGACAGTGCCGGGCGATCGTGTATTCCGATGTAAAAAGTACAACAAATTACGCCATATCGGGCTCGTCACCATCGGCCAACTGCTTGAGGAAGTCCTCCTTGGTCTTGTTGACCTTGGCCTTGCGCTGATCGTAGGTGAGCTTCTTCTCGCTGAAGCGCTTCTTCTGCACCTTCTTCTTGGGCGGCGGGTTGAACTCGGGGTTGGCGCGGATGGAAGAGTGCGCCTTCTTGTACATCTCCTCCACCTGCAGGGTAATGCACAGCGTGAGCAACAGCGCGCTCGGGCAGGCACTGATAGCTGGACCATGCCCAACAGCGCGCTCGGGCAAATACTGATAGCTGGACCATGCCCAACAGCGCGCTCGGGCAGGTACTGATAGCTGGACCATGCCAAACAGCGCACTCGGGCAGGTACTGATAGTTGGATCATGCCCAACAGCGCGCTCGGGCAGGTACTGATGGTTGGACCGCGCCCAACAGCGCGTTCGGGCAAGTACTGGTAGCTGGACCACGCCCAACAGGGCTAGCGCCAAAGCACACACGCGCTGCCAACGCAACGGCTATATCCCACACTGACACTAACACTAAGTCCAAACAGCCCTAGCTCGGCACGCATGCAAAGCTGAATTCCGCTTGGTGTTGGCAACGCCGAAGCATTCCTACACTGGCATCGGCTTCGTGCAATTTCCAGCGGAAGGCTTCCGCTTCGTGATATTAAAAACACCTTGCTTCAGTTTCCCAGAAGTTTTGCATTATGTCCGTGCTCCGGCTTCATGCGACCTTCAACTGCTGGCTTGGACTTTCAACATGTTGATAGTTTACTGCAGTTGCCCTCAACTTAGCAAAAACCAGACTTGCCTTTCCCTCCATCCCCTACTTACAAATTGTGAGGGCTGGAATGCATGGCTAAAACCCACGACCAATCATCATTCATCAGACAAATTAACACCTGACAATCGCCGAAGAATTGACTGTCTGCAATGCTTTGTACATACCAGTACACAGTACAGGGTTGATATCCCGAGAAACGAACCCTCTATCGATAATGATAACAATGTCTGAATTTCCCCCGCATAACCTAGTCATATTTTCTGATCCGATACCGTTTTGGCAGAAACGTAAGTGTTCGTGGTTCAGCAAATTGAAGTACACAAGATTCGGATTCGGCCTAGGCACAGTGATTTGGAACTGATGGGTCCGGCTTTGGCTTCGCGTTTCCTAATTTTGAAACTGATGGCTTCGGATTCGCACGTACAAAGCTCGAAACCACTGGCTTTGGATTCGGTTCTGGAAATGGTCGGCGGCTTTGCCATCAGCTTCGTAGTTCCAAAATTCGAAGCCGCCGGCTCCTATTTGCTGTCATTGTCTCGGCTTTGGATTCGGCTTCGAAACCAGGATGGCTTCGTCCCCATACAGCACTTAGGCAGCATACAACAGCATCCAAAACACAAATAACGGACATCGATGTTAAACACGGTAAAACCAAGCTGGTGTCAGAAACGTACTTCTATAGCTCCGGTCTTGTTTAAATATCATTTTACCAATGGGATCATGTTTTTAACACATGCCAGGAAGACGAAAATGAATTTTGCTGCTGTGCTTTGCCATGCTGAGCATGCTGCGTGTTGCATCTAACATCAGCCAAGCACCTATCACACTGCAAGATGGGCACCTGGGGCTTTCCCCTGCTTTACTTCGAACACATTGCGTTCCTCCGCGTTAACGTCTCGCGCCCATCAATGGCAGCAACACGCTGGTATGGGTGAGCCGCGCACGTGGTGCCCATAAAGGCGCCGGAGCGCAACCATGTTTGGTGGAAGAAAGGCCTTCAGCCCTAGGTTTTTGGGAATTTGCGCCCTGACGGTCAATAACTCGGCGCAAGAACTCTGAAACTGCAAAACATTCCCTTCCATCTCGCGACGCCCGACATCATTGGTGGAGCCTTACAATCCGGATAAAAAGACGGAAACCTGCCGCCTCGCCTCCCCCGGGCCCTCTCCGGCCACTCACCCCGTCGGCAGTGATGCCGAGCTTGATGAACCGTGAGAACTGACGCTTGTACGCGTCGTCATCGTCCTCCTGCAGGTGGCGCATATAGTTGGCCACGTGCTGGCCGTAGATGTAGTCGCGGTGCACGCCGGCGTTGAAGCTCTTGGCCTCGCTGTCGTAGCCGGGGAATCGCTTGTTGCTGTGCGGGATGTCCAGGCCGCCGTCCACGGCTCCCTTCATGGCGCCGAACACCTTGGCGCCGGTGGTGGTGCGCGCCAGGCCCACGTCCAGGTAGCAGCGGAATGCGCCCGGCCCATCCTCCACGGGCTCGACCAGGTAGTCGGAGCCGTCCACGTTCTGGTTGCCCTCGTACACGCTGTCCAGCTGGATCTTCTTCAGCAGACGACGCGCTATCAGCAGACCGGTGCAGTACGCGGCCGCGTAGTTGGTGAGCCCGACCTTGACGCCGTAGCGGGGCAGCTCGTGACTGTATGCGGCGCACACGATCACGTCTCCCTCCAAACGGGCGTACGCTATCTGTGGAGCGGGCAGAGTGGCGGTTGTAAGCATCTGCGCTACGACGCATTTTCCATCACAGTGACGGTCCTTCAGCCTATCATTCAACAGTTAACTGAAATGCATTTATATTGCAAAACAGTTGAAAAAGTGAAATAACCAAAATCGCCAGCATTTCACCAGAAAGACTGAAATGGAAGTCGGTAAGTGCATGTGTGACAAGTATCATTTACATAGATAAGACAGTAGTGACAGCCTTATTCCTCAGAGAAAAATCTGGAGAATGAGGAAATAGATGCATTGATATTTTGGCAACATACTTTTATTGAAACAATAGCAGCTTTTTCTTCTTTTTTTTTCTCTGAAGAATAGGGCTGTTACCACTGCCTTGTCTATGAGAAAGGCTGATCCATCACTAATGGTGCCAGTTAAAATGTGGTATAAAATGTGGTATAGTGAACAGACCAAACAAATGGGCTAAAACATCCCATTACAGAGGAAAGGCATGAAAAATCAACAAAAAGGAGATCAATCATAGCCAAAAGCACAGCTTGTAGCTCTCCACTGTTAGTTAGCATCAGCTCCCGGCGATCCCAACCCACTGTAGAGGTATGGGGGATACAGTCATCATGCATGCCCCTGTAGGGGCATAGTCAAAGTTCACCAAACTAGGGAGGGGGGGAATGGCAGGCCAGCTATTCAGGCCCTTGATAGCTGGCTAGTGGGTCCTGAAGGCCACTCAGGGCCTGGTGGGGGGATGCATCCAGTGTGTCCCATCCTGGCTGCTCCCTTGGACAACAAGGTGTGAATGAAGCTCAATGCAAGTCAGTGACTCACTCTCAGAATGCATCTCCCACATGAATGACAGTGGTGGCTTTTGCATCCAAAAATATCAAAAATTCAATGTCAGTTTGGTTTCAACTAAGTTGTTTTGGCTGGCTGGCTGCAGATAATAGATCCTGATACAAACTATGTTTCCTTCCATATTTCAGTGATTTGTTTCACCTACCTGGTGGAACCTCAGCCAATCTGTTGGACAATGTTCTTCATGAACATTAGCCCCTTTATGTATTTGGTGACAAAGTCAGGCATTTTGGTAACAACCAAGTTAAACCAGTGGTGAATATGCCCATATTAGTGGCAATAATCCCATCAGTGTTAAAATAATCACTTTAGCTGTGACTCATCTAATTTGATGCTAATTGTCTATTTTGAGTTCATTCTGGAGCTGACAGGAATGTATGCTAATGGTGTACAAAAAGTGAAGCACAGCTTAGAAATATATGTACAGTAGAGGCAAACATAACCAGCCTGTCACATAACTAAGGACACTGCCTGAAAGATGCCCTGCAACACTTTGATAAAATTGCAAAATGTTACATGCATCTCACTGTGCTCACAATCACACATCACAAGGTGGGATTAAAACCCAGGTGTAAGGGCCTTTCCTGCTCACATCACATGCCATGATCTGGTCATCAATATTGGTGTCATTGCCTAAATACCACATATTCTCGCTTTTATTAAGAACTGGGCCAAGTGCTTTCAAATGCCTGACCAACACCCCAGCAGTGCTTCAACTAACATCATGTATGCTGCACACAACTGTTTTAACAGATCACACATATAGTGTAACCGACAACTCACTGTGATGCTAGGGCATGCCAAAACAGATGGTGTGCTTACCTGGCAAATGATGTCCTTGTTCGTAAAGCGAACAATGAGACGGTACTTGGGAGTGTTGTATTTGTTCTTGTCCTGAACAACCAGCCTCTTGCGGGCATAGTAGTCGGTCTTACCCTCCCTACGCCTCTTGAACTTGACCTGGTACCTCTTGAAGTACGCTTTGTTCTTCACAAGCTTTATGAATGCCTGCAAGGAGCATCACGTTAGCCAGTACATCTTCATTTAGAGATTCATCATCTCTTTTAAATCATGGCTTCCTGGGATCAAAGCCTGAGCTAAGCAGTGTTTGTTTAGCAAGCCATGACCCTTATCATCCCATCATGCACTTGCAGGTCACCAGCAGACTTTGGTGACAAAAATTTAGTGAGCCCTGCACCCTGATATCACATGTTCTTTAACAAGACCTCAGCTTCCGGCCCCAGGCCATACCTTTCAAAAGCAAGAAGTAAGAAGTGAGCACCTAGTGACTGGAATCCTATCTCCACCAGATCACATGGGATGGAGGGAGGGGGGGGGGGGATTCAAAGCAAGGCCCCCTCAACAAACTGAGCCCCCAGGATAGACAAAAACAAACAAACACAGCACCCAGTGACATAAAGCACCTAGAACACATGTGAGCACCTAGTGACTGGAATCCTATCTCTACCATGTTACCTGGGGGGGGGGGGGGGAGGGGGATTAAAAGGAAGGCCCCCTCAACAAACTGAGCTGGTAGGATAGACAAAAACAAACAAATATGCATTACACCAAGCATGTCCAGGGTAGCAGTGCCATCTCAACAATTTCAGGGCATGCATGACATCAACATGAGCACCCAAATTCTGGAGCAAGGTTGCTATCAATGGGAGAGCACAGACCAATATTTAAGGAATTATAACACTGTCAAGATAACCTTATGCAAAGATACCATGGGAAAATGCTTTAAAAACAAAAGATTGATACGTTCAGCACCAGTTGGCTTTGCCATTGTTTGACACACAAGGGCATGATGATTAATGCTACAGTATATTGTTGGCATCCTGCAGACAATGAGTTTTCTGCAGACCTGACATACATGACAGGGTAAGATGACAAGCAAAACACAAAACAGATATACTAACAGCAAATGACAAACACACCACTATGGTTTAAATTTGAAAATGCAGTGGAGGATGACAGGAAATTTAAGGTTTTGAGATAACTGGAGAAGAGCAAGTTGACAATCACTATTACTCAGCTTGTAAGCTTCCAGACATATGAGATTTTCATAGGAGATATCAAGTTCAGGCAAAAATGCTCTGGCACTGAAAACTTCAGTACATGACTCACATTGAGAGCAAAAGGCTGAAAAGAATTAAGGCAACAAACCAACTACTTTGATTGTAACATGCCACAATCATCAAGTTCTGCCTGATCATGTTTAAAACTTCATATATCATCCACACATATATCAATTATCCCCTGATAGGAAGCCTAGAGGAACACATGCTAAACCATCTATTCGTGGATACAAAACAACTGACAACAACAAAATTGAAACCCACAAGTTACCCCAATGGAGGTCTGAATGGCTTGCCAACTGGTTGTAGCTACCACACCCCCTTGACAGCTGTTATGCAGAGCCTAAAAAGTAAGTCTGATCTATATCACCATTTACTTTTGAACGATTCCATTCAAGTGAGAATAAGTCAGATGCAGGTCTGCTCTACTCGCCCACCATCAACGAACATATCGCTATCCCCATGCGCAAAACACGGCGCGAGTAACACCAGCAAAATCGCCCCGCGCACGATCACAGAGGATACTTCACGAAATTCGTAGCACTCAATCCATGTTGATGCACGCCACGACGAAAAAATAACAGTTTTAGGGCAAAACAACCAACGTACCATGGCGAATCGGTGATATTCGCCCAAGGATAGCCTCGGCTAAGGGTCTACCACCGGAAAGGGGGCATGTAGAGGCGGCGCTGATCTTGTTGCGAACGTGTTATTTATCTTCCATTGGTATCGCTCAACTTAAGGTTTGAATAGAATATTACTGAAAAAATTATTTTTATTTTCATTCTCACCACAGAAATTTGTATAATATGCTTATACTGTCATTAAGAAGGTGCGAATATTTCTTTTAACTAAGCTCCCCTAACCATGCTGCAGTACTCGACGAATGTGCTGCGAGCACTGGCGCAATGAAGCCGACAAAAATGTTTGGACGTCGAGCCTGCTGGTTGGTCGGGCGAGCGCGGTGATTTGGAAGGTGTTGGAATTGTTAGACCGTTGCGGTTTGTTGGATAGTTAGGAAACTCATAACGTGGAATCACATGATTTCTATGCCATCTTGAGTGAGGTGTGTATGTGGCTTAACTTAATATCGGTTGGTGCATGCATGCACTGACATTCTATGTTACTTATCTTTTGGCATAAACCTGATCATTAACAAGCACAAAACGTCGGGAGACAACTGTCCGTTCATGACTATACCTTATGGGGAAGGAATGTCTGGGAGAATGAGGCAGCTTTTAAAACGAAATGTTTGTAGCCACCAGACCTTTTGCAAACCTATGAAGTGAGATAGTTAAGCCAGAGACAAAAAAGTTCCCAGATTTTAAAATAGAACCAAAGACTGAAAATTTTCTGATATAAATGTGCGTGAAAAGTTGTCATGTGGGTTATGGTTTCATGCTTAAATGCCAGAGCATGTGAATGCCAGGGAGTGATAAGAAACACAAAGATAAGTTATGTGGGCCTATCAAAGTATGTTTTGGATATAGGTCATTGCGGTAGGGGAGGACAGGACATTTTAGGTAATGAGATAAACTGGAGAAGGGGAAGTCTAGAAAGGTATTTTCACTTATAGAATGGCTGGTGACAAACTTTTCAATCAATCAATTTTAATGTCATTGCCTCAAGGGGATGGGTGATTAATTTCTTGTGACTTAAAGTTGTTTTATTATGTATGGCTTTAAAGCCTTTCTTAATATATGCTTTAATCTGTTTATCATATCATTCAATCAACCAAGCTTACATTTATTGCTGCAGAGGGGTGGCTGGTTAATTCCATATGGCTTAAATTTGTTTTATTGTGCATGACTTTATAGCCTTTTTAATCTGTGTCTGAATCTGTTTATCATATAATTGTCAGACCAATGCAGCAGAAGGGACAGGGATTATCCTGAGAGCTCCCTTTCAACACAAATAAGCTGGTTGAACTATTATATTTGTGCACAAAATGTACATCTCTTGCAAAAAGTAGGTAAACAAGTTCACTGGCAATTTATGCTTGCATCACACTGTCCCAAACCAAAACATGGGGATGTGAAATCGGGCCCTGACCCCAGCTGTAGCCCACTAGGCTTTGACAGGGTCATGCCAGGAACAGGTGAGTGAAATGATGGCATTCATTTCCAAGTTGCAGCAGCCCAGGATACCCATATTGCTGCTGCCGCATCAGTGCTGTGGGACTGGCAGGGTCCATGGCACCAGTGGGTCCAGCTGCAGGTCCCTGGCAGTGGCCGTGGCATGGTCACAGCAACAGCAGGGTCCACTGGGGCATGGCCGTGACTGTGGACCTTGGGTTCCGAGGTGACACATGGTCACCAGGTGTACAGTGTGGTGAAGATCTGCACTCACCTGGTAATCCAGCTGTATATTGGTGTACTGTGGAAAGCAAAATGATCTTAGCTGATGTTGCAACAACAATGTATTGTGATGTGGTCACTGTTATATGCTATGTCCCTTATGCTATGTATATGTGCATCCTGTATTTCCAGCTAGCTAGCCATGTCTGAAGGAATCCAAAGAACCAACACTTTTGTGTCCAAGAAAGTAAGCTGTGTGCGGTGGCGTCCCCCTACTCAGCAAGCCTTCGCACAGTCCAGCCAGTTTGTATCAGGCAGCTGGGATGATGAGGTAACATGATAGCTGATAAAGCATGTCAATGATGCCCCTCATAGACCCAAGCTTACTACTCCTGCTGATACACCTCTGAGATTAAGTAATGATAAGTGTACCTAATGAATTAATTTAACATTCACTGACAGCTTCACATCATTGACTGATGGCCATTGGTCCTTTTTAGAATGACACACCAGAATGCCGGTCAGTCAAGATAAATAATTGTTGGGATTTTTTCAGATTTTTGTACATATCTATTGACAGATGGTAACATTGTGTGTTTGTATTGGTATGGTGTCTTGGCATTGCTGGTAAATTGTGTCTCTCTGGTGCTGAAAGTTTCAAATTGTCTTGTGGATAAAGATCATGTTTGTTCTTTTTTGTTATTACAACTGTAACTGGGGCTGATTTGTTCATAAGTGGCAAATTCTGTAACTGCTTGATAACATATTTACATCAATGCAATGACATTCATTTGGAACTTCTCGTTTCACGAAGATATCGTTTCTTAACCATAGTGGCTCGGCGCGAGACCCTGTTTATCACATCGCCGGATGTATATCATTTTACGCGTTTGGGTAACTCCGCGACGTTGTTTAATTCGTGAGGCACCATTCTGCCACGCAGGAAAACTGTGTGCAGCTTTGGCACTGGACAGACTCGGGAGATGATCCCAAGTGCGTTCATCGCGTCTCCTGTCAGCATGATATCACTTGCATCACGGTAAGTGCCTGTTCTGTTCGAAAAGTAAGACTGTAATGCAGCTGGTTATATAATGAACATTGTGTGTTAATTTTTACCGTGAAACATTTCGGCTAGATGGCCAGCCGCGCGTTTAAACTAAAGCATTTTTCGTGAGTTTGTCTGAGACTGCCAAATCCGTTATCGTTACTGGTGCACAGGGGTGTAGTTTCCTGTCCAGTTTTTTTCAGGTTTTCAGGTTTTAGTTTCTCTCCATAGTTTCTCTTCCTGTTTCTGCACCATTACCTGCTTCATAACATCGTCTGCTCTGGTGACCGGATCTGACAAGTGACGTCACTGGCCTCAGTACATCTCCCCGAACCTGTTCGCGACGGCCACAGCCGGCGGTGACGTCATCCTCCATCGGCACGAGGGAAACCGCCTGAAGCCCGACAAACGCTGGGAAAAACTGCATAAGACCAGGTGCGCTGCGATGCAGCTGTTGTTCGGCGCATTGTGACATGGCCTTTTTGGTCTGTTCTTTCGGTTTTGTCAGTGTTTTTGTTTTTTCGCCTTGCACGTGTGCGTTACTTGATTTACCTGTCGCCGCGATGTGCTCCACCCACCTGCCGCTCCGTCTGGCCTCACATGCGCCCTCCGCACGCCTCAGGGGCGGCGCGGCGCCGTGCTCCTGGGTGTCGGCGTTTGAGGATGAGCTGGTGACGGTCGGGGACGACGGTCGGATGACGGTGCTCGCGCTCTCGGCGCGTCAGCCCGTCCGCGTCATAGGTACGCCGCCGCCGCCGCGGCCGTGGCCGTGGCCGTGGCCGTGGCCGGTCCGGCCGGTCGGAACCGGGCCGCGGCGCCGGCGCGGTCGGACAGAGCACGGGCTGATGGCCGGGTGGACAGAAAAGACGCTGAACCCTGACCGGTATGCAGCCGGGATTGAGACTGCCAAATAAGCCTGATTTTGATTGAAACTGGTTGTGTTGCAGTGGTGGTGGCTAAGTGTTTCTCATTTTTTTATAACTTTCGTGTAATTATAACACTGTTGAACTTCTGGACTTTTTCTGTTGTGACGCCCTCATTGTGGCTTGCAGACCATTGTGATCAGTCGAGGTAGCTGTGATCTTTGTAAGGCTTGCATCCCACTTTTGATCAACATGCTTGTTGGATGAACTGGTACTCGAACGGGGTTAGGATCGGGGCATTCGCCTGGCGTGGCTTCCTGCGTGGATGCTCACCGTGCCGCCCAGGTGGTCCGACCGGTGTAGCAGGTTTGGTAAATCGTTGTAAAGATATCCCTTCTGATTTGAGGAAATGTGACGCCTTTGGTGGGATTTGAACCCGCGTAGCTGTGCTTTGTGTCCGCGTTCGCATGCCATTCACTGTGAGCCGAGACCCGCGCTATAATTGCCATCGCTCGTGATGAGTCGGATTGGCCCGCGTTTGTGACCTGCCTTGTTTTCACAAACCCATCAAAATTCTTCAAGCCGAAGACTTTATTTGTGTTTGGTTCACTAACTCGCTGTCTCGTGGCACTGCTTGTGACGACTCATCGCGACTCATTTTCATGTCTTTGACCTTGCACAGATGGCGCTGACACGTGCAGCCTGTACCGGGTGCAGCACATCACCCACTCGCACGTGGTGACGGCCAACATGCGCGGCCAGATCAAGTCGTGGGACGTCCGGTCGGCAGGCAGAAGCCCCACCTCCTCCGTCATGGCCTCCCAGCAGCAGGTTAGGGCATTTTGCGCTGTCCCGTCACCACCCAGTAGATGGTTGGCAGCGTCCTTTTCGCCTGTCCGGTTAGATACCATCTATGTACATATCACGCGTTTGTATTGGGTCTAGGGTCGGCAGCTAATTTTGGATGTGATGACAGACTCGTTTATGCTTTTACCGCGGTTCGCATGTTCTTCATCCGCCTTTTAAGTCGCGAAAAGAAGAACGCCGCAGCAGTGAAGCGGGGCGACCTAACTTGCCTCCAGCTCCTCTCCGGCGCTGGGTTGTAGGCGCCCGCTGACACGGCCGACGCCGCCCGCAGTCTCCTGTGACGTCACTGGCGCGTCACCCGACCCAGTACCACGTGCTGGCCTCGGGGGACGGCGACGGCGTCATCTGCATCTGGGACCTGCGCGAGGCGCGGTACCCGGTCACCGAGCTCAAGTCCCACTCGGCTGAAGGTTGGTGCGGCTGGCACACTGCGGGGACACGCTGGATGCGGAGACACGCTGGACCGGTCCGGGCAGAATACACGCCAGATAACCTGTTAAGGTCGATCGCTTGTGTTCCGGATGCTGCTATCCCCAAGGACTCGTAATGATGTGTTGGGCATTTCCATGTTTGTTTTATTTTTTGTCTTTTTTGTCAACAATGCGCTCCATGCTATGGCTTGTACCAGTGGCTCTGGGTAAGGTTATGATGCTGTGGTTAGAACATGCCCACACTGATAAGTATTAAATGAAAAGATAGTCACTGATAGGCCTAATTCGTACGTTGGCACCGTAGAAAATGAAAAGGTGAGCAAAAGTAAATGAACAGATATGACGACACTGGCGGTGGATATGTGGTCATTTGCTCCCTTGCACCATCTTGTCCGCCCAGGTGGACGTGCCCGGTCGGCGGAGGGGGGGGGGGGGGGGGGGGGGCGGGCGGGGGAGCGGTCCGAGCGTCAGCTGCGCTCACCACCTCCTCTCCTCTGGGCGCCGCTGATCCGTGGGCCGGCCGGTTTCAGTGAGCGACATGTTGTTCCATCGCCTGAGTCCGGACAGCCTGTTCTCGGCCGGCCAGGACGGCGCCGTCTGCCAGTGGAACATCGGTACGGCCGCACAAACGACCATCAGCCGTCACCCTGGCCACAAAGGTGCGCCGTCTGTAGGAGCGGATGCGTTACATCCTGAGTGGAGTGGTAGCTCGTTCTGTAGATATCTTCATGCTTAGCGGTGGAGAGTGGCCGCCTCTACATTCGTAGTTTTGATGATCGACGTTTGTTTGCAATAAGTGTCGCTAGTTTTCGGTATGCTTGATGCGTTCTTGGGAAGAATTGTGGCGAAATGGCGTCATGAAAATGTGTTACTTGTGCCGTCGGAACACATTGCGTCGATTACTTCCACCAGGAAGATGTCTGTATGTGAAAAGAGTGCAGACCATAGTGATCCAACCAGCAGTGGTCCGCGATTCTGATTGAGTTGGCTACCAGAAGCCAGGTAGGCTCTGAGAAGTGGGGCGCGGCACGATGTGCGGAACATGCCTGCATGCACCAGCTTCCCATTGCCACGCCAGGATGTCAGCCCGTTTCCGTGTGCAGAGACCCCCTCGTCTGGAGAGCGCGAGGATGATCGTGACACGGCTGCGGCTCCCCGGCAGACTCGCCAGCCGACGCGCAGACGTCCTTGGCTGACGCTGGACGCCTCCAAACGCTACCTGGACGTGCTGGCGCTGGTGCCGGCCGGCCCTTTCCCCGTCAACGCGCTGGACGCGGCCGAAGACCGGCTGGTCTGCGGCGGCGACAACGAGGTCCTCCACTGCATCAGCCAGCTGGCCGTGTGACGTCACGTATTTGACGTGTGGAGGGGACGCGAGGTCCTCCACCGCGCGGGTCACCTGGCCGGGTGACGTCACATGTATCGTCTGTAAGAGACTGTGAGGTTCTCCAACATGTGCCGTCTGTCACGGCAGACTTATTCCGGTCACCCATCGGTACAAGGTAGAGTTGATCATAAAAACCAGTCTCTTAGTGTAAGCTCGCGAACCTGCTGTAAAAACACGTCATACGGAACCCAACACTGCCAAACGTACTCAAAGTGCATGACCAGCTGGATGTAGCATCTCCGCCTGTCATACGGCTACTGTATGATGCCATTCCGAGAAGCCGAATAAAATGCTACACCAGATATCCTTGTTCGATTCACACTGACCTTCGGCTCAAAGATCGGTGTGGAATGGCGGGGCGATGCGATGCGGTGGTAATAGCTGGCCTGGCCGTGCGTGGAAGTGCCCCGCGATAAGCCGCGTGCTGGTCTGGACCTAGAGACGCAGCTCCGCACGATAAGCTGCAGTGGCGCGTTATGTGTCTTCCATTTCGGCAAATGACGGCGCCCAAGAGCGCTTGCGGGTCAGTTCAGTTTATTGCAGGTTACATCCTAGAACACTTCCAGGTGTTTCATAAACCAGTTCAAGATTAAAAGCAAACATGCCAGGTGTTTCATAACCAAGTCAAGATTAAAAGCAAAAGTAAACAGCAGGCGAGGGAAAACAAACTCCTAAGTCTAACAATTAAAAAAAACTAGTAAGCACAAACCAGCGCAGCAACGTGCACTCAGCTCAGGTGGCGCACGCTTTCGCTCTTTGATGAAGTGATGTTTCTCTCACTTTCACGCATACTGTTTATCAGACGCAGCAGCTTGTGTCCCTCGTACGTTTCAAACCTTTTGGACGCACCATTGAGGAAGGTTTCTGGCCGGCCCCGTGGACATCCCTGCGCTGGTTAGAGGTCAGGGGTGCAAGACGGGCAGGGGCTGCCAGCCCGGTCAGTGCCTGTCAACATGTTGGTCAGGGCGCTTTCTATAAGCTACGGTCATGCGTTCAGAGACAGACGGCCATTAAGCAGTTTCTCTTGATCCGTTGTGATTGGTAAAGCTGGCATTTCGGACGATAGAATGGTAATATTCCTGAAGCCCGCATTGTCGGTGTCTGGCTAGAAAGTGTTTCGCGACCAGACAGGGACCGGAAGCACAGCATTCCTGCACGAGCCGCCGCCAGAGCCGCCACTTTGATGTGTGCTGTGCGGCGATAGCAGTGATGCGCTCTTCCACCGCCAGGCAACAAATTCTGGACAGGCGCAACTTCTAGAAACAGGGCATGTGCGCCTTGTATGACAGAACGTCTTCTTTTACACATGCAGTGTTGAAGACCAGGGTGCATTCAGCTTTAATGAGCTTTTTCTGTTAAGCTCGTTCAACCTCATGCTTCGTTTACCCACCTTCGGCAGATTAAAGATTAAGGTACCAAACGTGGCAGCCACAACTGCTTGTGCACTTGCCTTGCTAAACGACGGAGCGTCTATGGGTGACTTGTGCTTGCGCTATTTAGGGACGCACTCAACACCATTCATGGGATTCCTTGGCCGACCCGAACTCTGGCTGCTGGGATGCCTCACGGGAGCCGGGTGTGATGTGCTGACTACGAGGGTTGTCCAAGCCCTGCTTTCCAGATTCTCAATGCCGTTGGAGCATTATTAAACATTCCCAAAGGTTGAGAAAGCCGCCTTTGCTACCGCTGCAAATGCCAGATCTCCTTAATTTCGTCAACGTCACTTGCCAATGCTGCTGCGATGTTTCTGTGTTGTTAGTTTCTTCGGTGGCTCCAAAACCAATCCCTGCGAAACCACTGAGAGTGTTGTTTCAACATGTCAGTGAACCTCGCTGAAAAAGTATGCTGCATTTTCCGGTCGTCTTGTCACGCCCGCTGCAAATTATTCTTTACTCGATGTGTGTAGTTTCTTTGGCATTTCATGAAGCAGACAGCTCGGGTAATGCATCTCTTCATCACTATAGTTTACGTTTCCCGCCATAAAAATAAATGAATGACGGTTGCCGGACGCCGGCAACACACGGCGCGCGCGTGTTTCGTCCTTTTCGTCGTCGCGCGTGTCCGGCAGCCGGCGACTGGGCGATCAAGCGGTGGCATTTTTGCGACGCGAAATTGTGGATTGCGACGCTTTAGGTAAAGCTGATGCATGAACAGGACAGCGCACGTATTTACAAATAAATGGTTGGCAAATACAGGCAATGAATCGGTGCACGCGGTGATGTAAATTTGTCACGACCCTAGCTACAGTATCGTCGACAGCGTGCTGCATTCGGCTCAGTTTTCCGAATTGCCGCCATTTCCGGCTTGCCCAGCGATTATTGGCGCAGCCGTGTGTCGCACAAACTTGTGTTGAACACATGAATTGCAGACGATACGTTGGTTGACACCTTGAAATTGGATTTGCACCTCCACCTGCTCTGGCTGCCGAGTTGCAGCATAAAACGTTAAGAACCGTAAAAACCGGGCAAATCCATCTAAGCCGCCGCTGTGCGCGTGGCACATCGCACGTGGGCCCGCACGCCTGGTACCACGCGATGTCTGATTGATTTTTTTTTCTTTTTTCTCCGACCACTGGTTGCCGAGATGAGCACGCGGTTTCGAACGGCTGCTCGTCGGCTTTATCGCGGGTCATATTTTCGGGCCCCCCGTATAATACCAATAGGCCTTAGAGAGCCATTGCGCCACGCGCCACGCCCGAGCCCCGGACTGCAGCGACTCACGTTTCACTCGTGGGAAGCCGCCTGGTGTGCCCGCGCGTCGTGTCCAAATCTCACCGTTCAGCGCCCCGCCGTTGGGCCCGTGGACGACAGGACGCAAGACGGGACAGTCACGCGGATGTCGATTTGCATTATTTTGGTTGTGCCGCTGACCCCCCCCCCCCCCCTCCCCTCCCTTTCACGTCTGATTTGGACCCAACGGCGAGCTGGCCCCCAAACCATCTGGAGCCGGTGGACGAGCAGGGCATTCAAATGGAAAATAAAGACTGTCTCAATTTTAAAGAAAGCCTCTATTTAAGTTATGATTTAATATCTAAGTTATCTATCTAAGTTAATGTTTAACAGGTAAAAGGAGCAAAGAAAGTGAAAAATTCGATGTCACGTTCAGATGAGTGCAACTGACTAGGCTTATCACTCTATCAATACTCTCTGTTCGTGACGTGTTCACTTGAATATTTTCTGGGTTTCTTCTCTTGCGTGATGCATGCTTTTAATTACACGTTTAATGTGTCTTATTGACTCTGACATAGTTTTGTGCTATTGTCTACGCGTTTTGGCAGTATTCAGAGATATCTAAAGATCCGCGGACTGCAGCAAGGTGCGTTATTTTGACACGATGCGATGCGATGCTTTATAGGAAATTGAAAACGAGGCGGCCAAATGCTGCAACCCAAAAACCTGCACGGATTTTTACCTGGCAACGTTCGAAAGAGCCATGGAAATATGCTTTTGGGACTCCAGCTTGATGTGAATATTCGACGGAACAGCTACGAAAACCTGATGATAGACACCAGCCGATTTAAAGGGAACGTTTTACATTTGAAGATTTAGCACAGATGCTCCTCAGTGTGTCATGGTTTGATTACGTTATCGCGCTTTGTATGACATTGACTGAGAACCAATTGACGGTCTTTATATTTGGAAATCGCGCTCACGAGCGCCAGAAATAAACGCCTCGACAGTTATATGTTGCTCGGCCTTGATCACCGCATGCCTTATGAAACAACAGGATTTAAATGGCATTATGCCGTCACGAATGTCATGATGGCTTTTGAATGCTCTCCGCGATATACCTTTTCATTTTCGCGGGCCTGTAGCTCAGAAACTAGAGGGATTAGGTATTATGGGGGGAAATGTTGCAAAATGCACTGGAACGTCTTCAATCTGGTTATTCCAGTTCAAAGCCCCATATAAATGTGGAGCACCCCATTGAACTAATGGCGGCAGTTGTCCGACGGTGACCACCAAAATAGCACTAACCGTATCGAACATGCTTAACGCGAGTGCTGTGTTGCTGCCTGCATCCCGCCTTACGGCTACCAGCCGGGGGGGGGGGGGGGGGGGTTCTGTGGCAGCCTTAAATAGTCGAGTACATCTACTCAAGTGGTGGGGGCTTTTTACTCTTCACTCCGAAGGGCACACGCGCTCAATAACGTCTGAAGCCAGCTAGCACGGACCCTGCGTCGACTACCGAAACTTATTATCGACGATCGACGCCAAGCAAAACGGTTCCGATGCCCAACGGCAGCATCGTCCGCCGGGGCAGAGCGAGGAAAAGCATTAGAGCAGTGATATAGTTTTCTATTCAGTTGCATGAAATCCAACTCCATTACGTTGAGAGGAAAATGGGTCGAAGTCAGGAAGAGACCTACTTTTGTGTGTTTAGGCCTAGGGTTCCCCGAACAGCCTCCTGGTCTACCTGCGAAACAATACTCCTGTGGCGGAGGCTTGACGAACTTCAAACATGACGGATTCGCAACCAGGCTACTCCATCCTCAGGTCTGGGACTCAGGGCCTATTTCTCAAGCAAGGACAAGGATGAGGACCCGCAATTTACATCGGTCGGGGTCCCTAAGATAATGACGGGCCCCTATGTTAATCTCCGGACCATAGAACATAAGAATGTCCTTGCATGGCGAGGAGCCAAGAATGAGCCTCGGGCAGTGTTCGAGGCTCAGAGGCTCGAAGGCCTCTTGGGACCAACGATGAAAGGCCTGACTGAGAAAGGAATACTGGACCGATGAAATGCAGCTAGTGCCTGAGCTGCTGGTACAGTAGGTCCTTAATGCGTCTATATTATCATCACTGTCTATCATCATATCGTTTTCATATGTAATTATTATTACCGTCACATTGGCTTCAAAAGGAAAGTCATTCCTCAATGTTAGACTATTTTGGACGCCATCGATTTTTTTATTTTTATTTAAATTTCAACATCAGGGTCACAAATCAGCGTGGCCAAAATCCGAGGAGAAATCAGGATTTGATGGAAGCTTAGGTCAACTTTATCGACCTAGCACCCCTCCCCAAACTATGCTAGAAAGTGGCACTACTGCGTCCATCCTTGTTTCGGAGAAACATGAGAAACAAACTGTAAAAAATATTTGGGCCCGCCTGCTCGTAATCTTAGAAGCAAGCGCACCGACGGCCGGGAGCGCAGTTTCCAATCCGAGCAGTGGTAGTGGGGTCAACGCCGGGGAGCGGCGCCTGACGCGCGAGAACAGTCGTCGCGCAATAATGCATCCGAGAGTTTTTCAAAACGAGTTCGTCCGCTCATAAATCAGAGTAGGGGCGTAAATTTCACATG